AGTGAAACATCTACACTGTCACAGAGCCAGTCATTTGAGAGGTTTTGCTACTCTAGTTCAGTAGTAGGTTACAAACAGAAATCTTTAACTGTTTAGCTAGCCCCATATGCTGTGGCATGAAGGTCTTGCCTGTTCAGTTCTCCCTCTGTTAAACTAAATATGAAGTAGAAACATGGAAGACTATGGCTGAATCTGAAAAGGAAATTGAAGATAAGGAAAATAGGTTTTTAGAATTTGAGCGAAGATTCTGGAAAAGGTGACAAATGGGCAGAAAGTGAGTTTCAGTAAATACCTCTAATTTGGGGAGTCCCCAGTTTGGCTCGACATTGTCCATTGATGCAAAGATGCATTTAGCTTTCTTTATGTGCTAAGAGATGCACAATAATTATTCAAAGTTTGGAGAAATGTTAAATGCTAAAAAAACCAAGACAATAACCTTGACTGTTATCCCTAAGGTGAGTCCATTATGGGTAGTGAGCTGGTATCCCTTGATGTATAAGTGTGATACTTGGGCTCCTTGTGTTTTGTAATTTTTTTGTTTTGTTTTTTAAATTTTGAGAACTCACTCAAAAAGAACTTACTCATTTTTGCTTATAATTCTTGAGTAATGTATAAAGCCAAGATAATTTTATTTAGGTATGTGATTTAGGTTAATCAAGTCTTCAGTGAAGGGAATCCTTAGTTGCTTGTTATAAAGCAACATACTAAAATTAATATTGCCAAATATTCTTGAGAGAATTGCATTCACATTTGAAGACGATGATTTTATAAACATTTCCCAAATTCTTACTACCCTTTTCCCTGTTGATCTTTGTTTAGAAAGTATAACTTACAACAGTGAACTATTTATACTGAAAACCACCATTATTTGTCTTAGTGTTTGCAGGCAAATAGTGTCTCTCATAAGTTTTCTTTTAACCTTATGCACACTTTAAAATTCCCTTCAAGATTCTTTTTGTTTCCTTATTTTTAGGGTCCTGGTTGCTGCTCAGATCTGGCAGTTTCATTCCACTATGTTGATCCCACAACTATGTATCAATTGGAATATCTGATTCATCATCTCCGTCCATATGGTTACCTGTATCGGTATAACCCTGACTCTCCCAAGAGCTTAGAAAAACAAAGCAAGAGTGAAGCAATGGATAGCAATGCAAAAGATAAAGCAGAAAACCCTTGAAAATTAATCAGACTCTTTATCAACAGTGAAGTGGATAATAGTGCACTGAACAAGTATTGTGGAATGGTGAGCTATTTCATTTAGCTCAGACAGAACACTGGAATTACTATTGGTGATTCTTTGAAATCAAATTGTCGTACTGAAAGGCTGCAGACCATAGGTTGCAATACAATGGCTTTCATTTGTTGGGGTAGTTGGACTTTTCTTATGGGTGGGTCTTCAGAATCTAGTCCTACAGCTTTAAAGTGAGCTGTGAAATTGTAGTTATGATACAGTAATGCATACTAGAAAAATGTATTAAAATGAGCGGCAGGTGGCCAGGTTCAAGTATGATCATACGGTGTTTCTGTTCCTTTATTCTTTGCCGTTCTTATTGCCATTCTGTTGGGTAAATGCTAGTACTAGAAATCAAATCTTGTGCTACACAGGCTGAGCTTTTTGAGATGCTGAGGATACTGAAGAAATTTGATGCGAAAGAGCTGACCTTGAGAAAATACTAACTAAGGTGCAAAACCACTTTGCCTTTAAAAGGACAGACTTCAGATCATTTGGTATTAACAGGTATACCCAGTGATCAGGTACACCAAATGATCTGAAGGATTATTTGCTTGTTTCATGATTGAAATGATTTAATTACTTCAGGCTTCAGTATAAATTTCCACTGAAGACTGTGCTCCACAAAGTTGCCACCAAATTGGCTTGTTGTAGTCCGAGTGGGAAAAACACAGCCGTAATTAGATTGTATACCTTGAAATAGGTTGAGGAGACAGGTATAGTATGGGCAGATATGAAAATTTATTTCTCTAGCTCATGATATAACCCATAGCTTGAATGGGCGTAAATTAAAAACCAGAACTTCTCAACCAGCGTTAACTAGAAGTTGATCTGTTACAAACTCAAGTCCATCCCCCTGTTCATTGCATTACCAAACAACTTGTTCTTTTTTTGGTTTGCAGTCAGTAAATGTTTGCTGTATAAAGCATGGCACTTATGCAGTAGCACCTGAGTAATTCTTCAACTTGCCAAGTTCTTCTATTGGTTTATTTCCATTTAAATTACATATTTGCTTTACTCTTGGTTTTGTCATTTGGTTTATTTATGGAATCCATCCGGATGGAATAGGTCCCATTTTAGATAACAGCAAGGCTCT